GATCGTTTCACTGGACATACCACTTTTGTGTATCAACTTCCATCAACTCATCAAGTCGGCAAGCAGCCAAAAAGACACCATCGTTATTATCAGCTACCTCTACTGGAGTTTGTGTATAGCGACTTTGCTAGGGGTTGTTTTCATGTTTGGAAGCCGCGTTAACGAGAAGGCAAGTCTTAACTGTCTTAAAAAAAGATCTTTTATCTTCTTTCATTATATATCAGATTTTACTATCTACGATTCAAAATGCATCGAAGCTGTACTTTCAATCAGCATTTTTCAGTGGCCTCTTTCGTTTTTTCACCGTAGCAGAAATAAAATGTTTTAAAATTTGTGCATTAATGTTTTGCACATTTTACTATATACGTAGTAAGTACATTAAGAGTCATTAATTATGTATACTATACCATACGATTCTCATAAAAAAAAAAAAACAGAAGTAAAAAACTCGGATATAAAATATATGTTACTGTAGGCCACATTCGTCTTTAATTTATTCATTTTCATTTGCTTCGGCACATCTCTGGGGCGATTAAAAAGCCTCAAAGTGATTTTCAGCAGATTTAAATTAAATTGCTTCCATTTATTTAACATTTACACTATTTCTTTTTTTGAAAAATTTGTATTAATATCTCGTGGAACAGGACACTAATGAATTTCCTTTATATTGCTTCCATTTTTAAGTGCAGTTTCCTAATTATTTTGGGCTTTTTTTGGGGTCGGCTGGGCAAATTTGATGCAAAGCAAATTTTAAAGAAACCAATCGTATGTGTATACATCATGATTGTCGAGAAAAAGAAATCAAAAAGCAATTATGTCATTTTAAACACCGTAGTAAGATCAACACATTCGGCACGAAAACGAAAATGTGTACGGCTCCAAAAATGTTTACTCAGAAACAGTGTGTACGTAGAATTGAAAACTCGGTACAACTCTGGGGATTACAGTAAACGTTTCTCTTTATTCTTGCTGTAAAACTGACGCACCCTGTATATAGGTTACATTGTAATTTAGCCTTATCAACCAATCAGCTCTTTAACCCAACCTGTGATATTTGAAAAGGACGTTTGTCAAAAAGGTTTCTAGTGGTTGTATGTTGCGTGAGAACGCATACCTTTCACAACAATCATTCCCCACACGACCAACCGATCGACTGCTCATTTGCATTATCTGGTCACTACTCCAGGTCCCTATAGCTACCCTATCACGTTAATCACCTGCTGAAAGAATAAATTAACAGCGAGATTTCACCGAAGACCAGGTGACTGGCCGCTAATTTGCATAAATCTGCCCGGATCACTCCTATAACTCCCTCTAGCTATATTCTATCACTCGTTAAAAATGGAGTATGTTTTACCCCTTATCACTTTGCCATATTGATGCAGATTGAACTGCTTTAGATCTGGGACTCTCTACTCATAAATCATCTCACCCCAGATGTAAACTAAATGTTCCTTATTCGTGTTATATGGCAACAGTAAGTCTTAAAGTGTTATAAGACACCATAAGCTGCATTATGTTTTGAAGTCGGGTTATTTCCCGAAATTTTTACTTGCAGGCTCACAGTTTTTATGAAACCTTACAGAAATCTAAGTTTTCTGTCGAAGACATAAAAGAAAATACTGAGGTATGTGCTGGAAACGAAAATGGTGTTTTAATTATCATCAGGGGTCGAACGGAACACGTGTTCCATACCCTCCCAAACAATGACCAAAACAATAGCGTTATCAATACTGTGCAAATGCAGCAGTAATTGCTAAATATTATATATATGACTTTGTGGGGAAAAGAAAGAAAATAAGTAAAATATCCATCAATTATAGCATCGGTTCTTCACCAAAGTGCGCAGTAACATTGTTATTCTCTTGTAGAAAACAGAAAATTTTTCTCCATTTAAATAATGTTTCAGAAGTGCAATCCCCTCTCGCGAACCCATTTACAAAATTGTAGCGGAAAAAAACCATCGGAGCAAGGACGTGAACCAAGTCCACAATCAACTCACATATGACGACGGGTCTAGGATACAACCCAAATCATTTTCTCTCACTTCGAATTCATCGAAATATTCTATGACCCAGTTAACCGACCAGTCAACTTAAATATATTATAATGTTAATGGCATCGTAATGGTTTTTATTTTGTGTAGTTGATGTTCTTCCTTGCCCATCTGCGGGGAGATCCCATCGGATTGTCTTTGGGGGGATTAGCAGTGATCAGCAAGTCGATGTTCCTCACGGTTAGTATAGAAATGACAAACAATTGATGACCGTAAATAAGAATTACTGCATTACTACATTACTGCATTATATAGACAGGGCTTCAAAGCTTAAGGTAAATAATATATTTCATCTGAAAAAGAAAATCAGGAGTCGGGAGTCAGGAGTCGGACGGAATTGGTTGATTGATTGATTGATTGATTGATTGATTGATCGATCGATCGTTTTATTTATTTATGGACTGGTTGATTTAATGTTTGGACTGCAGGTTTCTTGATGAACAAGCTCTCTTTTTGGTCTTGAATCTCAGTTCCTTAGGTGTTTTCACGGTTACATGAGATCGCTTGCAGAGGAAAGAACGAAATTCTGTACCAGGTAACAACAACGGAAATTTAACCACTACTTGAATGAGGATGAGCAGAAATCGACATCTTCCACCTGAATCTGCACACTCCCACCCCCCTCCCCCTCACCTTCCTGAAAGTTATCTTACATCTTAAACTGACGTGTATATAATCGTCTTTTGCTTCATACCTCACGTTATTTGGTTCCATAGCTCTTTGGATTAATTGTGTCGTACTTCATCGTACTGGTGACGTTACCGAGTTAAGCTGACGGAAAGAAGAATACCCAAAGAGAGCTAAAGTTGTAGAAGCTTGGAATTTAGCTTCCAGCTAAGGAGTGCTCAACTTGTACAGGACATTCACGGGTTGCAATATTACAGGATGTGGCCTTGTTACAGCTGTTGTTCATTGGAAGTTTGGCACATCCAAAGAGAACAAAAACAAAACAACAAGCACAGAAAAGCAAATTTCGAAACAACTTTGCTTCTGACTAACCAGCTGTCCACTAAGCAAAGTTGGTATTCTGACCTCTTCAAGACCGGGAAATGTGCTCAAGCTCTTCAGTTTCTTCACATTTATTGTAATCTTGAGGACATTTTTTCAACAGCTTAACCGTTAGATGATCCTAAATGATCTTAGATATGGCAAATAGTGATGCCAGCTCTGCTGCAGTAAGAGTTTTGGTCTCCTTTTATCTTACGGCCATATCATATCGTGATATCGGTCATATCGTACTCTTTCATAATACTGAGGTACAAATTCGTTTTTAGCAGAAGCCTTTGAAAGCACACATAAATTCACAATATCTATCGAAAGGGCCAATCTATATCTTACATTTATTATATTCATTATTTAATGTATTTTTCTAGGAAAGAAAACCGGGATTAGGGATAGTGATGAAAAACGTGCGGGATGCGTGATTCTCGTCAAAAAGGAGCGGGAATGCGGGATCAGACCCCCCTCCCTTCCAGACCCTCCTATTCAAATCCTTTTGCAGTCCATTAATACATTACGTATAATAAAGAATACAGTAAACAGATGGGGTAAAGTATTAATTAAACCCCCAGGGACGGAAGTAAGTGATTGAAATTCATGTCACGTACCAAATGAAGCTTTAAGTTCCCAGTTTCCATTTTTACAAAAAAATTCAACACAAGGTTTTCTTTCTTACCTCTTTATTTCTCTAAATGAAACTCCGAACACTGAATAATTTAATAGGGAGAAAATTCCGCGATCAAACATATATATGTACAATATCCCGTAAGAGACCCTCTGGCCATATTGTAATTGGTTGAATGAAGATCAGCGGCTGCCATGATTGTCAACTTTGGATGGGGTCTTCTCTAGGTTGTTATGCAAGTTCATTTGTTAACCAATCAGCACTGTCCTTTGACAGCAACCTTTCAGTTTAAAGAAATTTCTAAATCATTGGAATCGAGCTGGTTTAAGTTTTATGTCAAAAGGTAGTGATCTTAATAATCAACAGTAATAAATAAACACTGCAAACGATTTCCATATGGTAGCAAAACATTATCAAGTTCTCTGTACTGTAACTGAGTTTGCGAGTAACACCTGTTGGAAGATTTAATATTCAAAATAAATTTGTCAGTCAGTGTACGACGTCTTCCAAACTCAACACTGAGAAACCTTCATTTCAAGCTCGGAAAACGCCATGCTATCATCACGAGCAGTGTGTGCACTAGAAATTAGCCAAAGGTCTATAAATAACATTGATAATACTGGTTCAACCGAAGAATATCCGAGAGAAAACGAAATGAACACAAATTGTCAAAATCAGCTCTCAGCGATCTTCAGTCCAATTTTGATCGCCATGAAATTGTCTGGGCAGTTTTTCGGAGAAACCGCACCGGCTGAGATAGGTCGCCGAAGAACAGGCTACATTTCGCGATTTTTCAGCACGCTCGTCGTTCTGGGCCAATGGCTACTCGTGGTATTGAGTGTTATAAGTCATTTTCACATAGGTTTCTCGACAACGCCGGAGTTTTTCTTCTTATTCGTTACCACCATTTGGTATGCCAAATGCGCAAGTAGCACCACCGTTTGCTTGGTCGTTTTGCCATTAGCGCCAAACAGGCGACCATCGAGATTTGCTCGATTTCTTTCCAGTTTTGGAACGAACACACCCGAACTAGAAGGAATGAAGGAAAAAGCAGTGAAAGGTTTAGCTTTGGGTTGCCTTTCTGTTCTGATCAATACCGTTGTCGTCACCTATTTCAGTGTCTGCTACAGAGGTATAATCTCTATTTTCCCACCATGGTATCCACACTCAGATAAGTACTTGGCAGTGCGAGTGATAGAAGTGGTCTTTGGGACTTTCGACTCCTTCGCTTGGATTCTTCCAGCCTTGATCTTCTGCATCACCTGCATGCTCCTGGAAAAGACGTTCGAAACTCTGCAAAAGAAAATGTCCAAGGAATCCTTCCACTCTTTCACCATAGCACACCTGCGGCGGGAACACCTGAAGCTTTGTGAGATGGTAGAGCAGGCTAATGCTGTGTTCTCGCCGCTCCTCTTTGTGATCGTTTCACTGGACATACCACTTTTGTGTATCAACTTCCATCAACTCATCAAGTCGGCAAGCAGCCAAAAAGACACCATCGTTATTATCAGCTACCTCTACTGGAGTTTGTGTATAGCGACTTTGCTTGGGGTTGTTTTCATGTTTGGAAGCCGCGTTAACGAGAAGGTAAGTCTT